ACAGACATTTTATCTTGTCTGACCCCCCGAATCAACCGTGGCTGAGTCTCAGCACAACCACGATTTTCTTAAAACCACACTGCACTTTAAAAAAAAATTCCTACTGCTATTTCAATGCTTGCTGCACACAAGTAAAGTAAACAGACACTACAGTCACCATACAGAGAGCAATGCAGCGGGGATGGGAAATATAATGACTTGTTTATTCTAGACACTGTAGAGAGAGAAAAAGCTACATACATAGGAGCTAATGATTCCACTACATTAGCGTGAAAGCTTTGACATTTTGCAAGTACTATGGCATGCACACTGTACTCTACAGTCTACCGTGTCTCACAGCCAGTATAGATTGATTGTCTGTCAGCTGGATTTCTAATGGGATGGTCTATTTGCATTGTACGGTCCCAGAGAGAAACAGAAATATTTTGGGATCAGCCAAATGCCTCTGATCTTGCTTTTGCTAAAAAAAATGCTCTCCAGCAACACTTTGAGGGTTGCAACCAGATCGCAGTCACATATGTCATCTGCTCTTTTATTTGACAGGCTTCAGATTCTTACCATGACATTAACATTGAGCAAATTTGTGTTTATATCTACAAGGTAAGTTCAGGTAAAGGGAACATTCCTATACACTTCAATATGTAATTCAAAGGTTCATTTCCATGCAACACGCCAGATGTCCATCCCGCTAAGTGTCTCACTCATAGGGTTCTATTTTCCATCTGTTTTAATGAAACAAAGATCCATATGGATTTGTTGAAAAAATGCCGTAAAAATCGTTTGACTGCTATATGATATCTTCTTTTCATTATTCACACTTAAAAAAAATGTACATGTCAGTTTATTGATGTTTTTAGTATGTGTCTTTCTTTAAGTGTGCCAAAATTATTGAATTTCTTTTTATAATATTGTGATTTTTAATATTATTTAGGTGGAGGCTACAAATAAGCCCAGTGGGTTTTGTGCCTCTTCCTTTGTGCAAAACAAGGAAATACAACTTCATCACTTTAAATAAATCCAATCGACTAACTCTAAACTAAACTTTAATTTAGTACTTCAACATTGGCTCACAAAACAGACAGTATTGTGGTTGCTAAAGTATGAGAATGGTCTGTAAATGATAACCATCACTCAATAAACTGATCCCAACCATTGCCCAAGACTACCGTTTCTTAGGTAGAGAGAAGGTGTTGAAAATAGTGAATTAAACCATCTGGTTACTTGGAGACAAATTGACAGGAGTGTTCTCTAAAAGAACATATTTCACTTCCAGTAAAGTAAAGAACCAGAAAACCCCCAGCAAATTGCCTACAAGACAAAAAACTAATATTGAATTTGCTGAAGAGAATTCACGTTTGGAGCCAGTAGCATAGAGGGCCAGCAAGTCATTTCAGTAGGCTGAGGGACACACACATTTAACACAGTTTGTTTTTCCCCAAGCGTCCTCCAAAAGTCAGCAACAAGACTTTCTGAGTGACATTTGCAATAAAGTGAAGTGGCAACCGCTGTTCAATGGGAAACAATGAACAGTATGCACCCACTCAGTATAGAATACTGTCTTCTGAACAGAGAAGAGACTGAGCTGAGCTGAGTGGTAATGGCCAGTAGTCAAAGGGCTGTCAAACCCAGATGTGCTGAAAACGTCACTCACGGCTTTGAGATGACAATAAAGCAGTGACCTTACAGAGTGAAGTGAAAGCTAAAGTTAACTGAATTGTCTTGCACAGAGAAGATGTATAGCTGTCATAAAGTTCCTATTGTTATCCATACTGAAAAAATATCAAAAATACTTTCAGATAAATACTTGGGTGTAATAGTAGATCATGTGCAATCCTACAAAGACTAAATAAATAAATCTGCCAAAGGAAAAAACTAAGAATTCATTGCATTTAACGTATTGTCTCTGACCCCAACCATGTCCGAAACAGAGTTTATAAAGTGTTACCATCAAACTGAAGCTATATTTTACAGAGCCCCAATGGGGACATGGATTTTTTATTATTATTACCTTTCCAATGCGCACGAGAACACTTTTTTTTGTCCATGTCCCCTTAGGGGCTCCGTACAGTTTTGTGCACCAGTCAATCCTAAAATGAAATACAGAATCAATCCCAGGTCAAGTGTACATTAAGGACTCTTGAATCAGAATCCCTTTATTTGGTCCCCAGTAATTGTAATGTTATGTTAAATATCTGTTTCCTTTATTCTTGTCTTAAATAATTATCCTTGTAGATTTTGCAAAAGGAACAGCTGTGATGCAAGAAAATGCGGTATCTGGGATTCAAGAGTATCTGAAAAAAAACAGGCAGTGAAGGTGACCGGCATTGACAAATGTAGCTTTGAACATGAAACAAACCCTTTTTGACAGGCTCATCTGTCATTTTAGGTTACAGCTCAACACTTCTACCACTGCTTAATGCTTGTACCTCTGACCCGAGGTCCAGAGACTTGCCTTCACACAGCTGAGGTCAGAGCCAATGAAGCAGCGACCTGAAGCAGCGACCTGAAGCCGCGACCTGAAGCAGCGACCTGAAGCAGCGACCTGAAGCCGCGACCTGAAGCCGCGACCTGAAGCCGCGACCTGAAGCAGCGACCTGAAGCCGCGACCTGAAGCAGCGACCGGAAGCAGCGACCTGAAGCAGCGACCTGAAGCAGCGACCTGAAGCAGGCGGCGGTGGCGAGTTGGAACAGATTGCATTGTCATCATCATAAGCCTGCACATAGGAGCTCCAAAGAAAGAATTTACTGAGAGTGAAATGGCTGCATAGTTAATCATCAACGTATAAATGAGTCACCATCCAAGTCAGCATGGAAAATGAGTCAATAAAACCCACTTGCATAAATGTCAGAGGCGCTTCTGTCACCTCAGAAATAGCTTTTCAGAAAATCTAAATAAATTGCAAACCAATTAAAAGTTTTGCGGTCAGGTTTTGTTATTTTTTCACGTAGCATTTTAATTGTTCTCCATCATATTACTCTAAGAAAAAAGATTTAATTTAAGGCAGCAAAGACCTTTCTTTGGAATTGGATTTTCTATCTAACTGTTTAAACTCCACATGAGATTCATGTTACCATGTTTATTCCCTTCGATGTTTATGTTTCTATTTTTTCTATGTCTTATTAATGAAATATAGCTGGTTAATGGGTTTAGAAATATGTGCTGACAGGTTTATTAAATGTCTTGTTATAAGTTGCTAGTTTATGAGCTTTATTACTATATATATATAGGATTCAGACAATATATGTTTTTGATTAAAAAAGGTAATTCAATTGTGCATATATGAAACATATATGATTCTATATGACTAAATACGAGAAAAGCTAATTAACAATAGTTGATCCTATATGAGTAAATACTGCAAAAACTTTAAATTACGCAAATATTTTATTGTCCGGCTGCATGCAACTGTGTTTGTTCAGATAGTCAAGTTTTAAATGGAAATGCTTTTAACTGCAATGCTCAATTCTTTAAGAACTAATCAAAGTAGTCGGCCATGTTGAGCTGCATCTTTTGCAGATTCCTCAAAATGCCATGAGGATTATTAATGGCTCTGGGGAAGGTGTGAGTTCCTGTGTGGTCCGCAGTGATGGAAGCAGATCCTACCTTCACCTGACAGTATCATTCACCCTGTTAAACCTGACAGTTTATGAACATTTGACACAGCCATGGCATTCTTCAAAGAGTTCAGTATTTTGCACTGTGAAACCCGAGCCGTCAGCAGATCATGAATTATTCACCCTGGAGTAAACAGGACACACACACACACACACACACACACACACACACACACACACACACACACACACACACACACACACACACACACAACACACACACACAACACACACACCACACACACACACACACCACACACACACACACACACACACACACACACACACACACACACACACACACACACACACACACACACACACCCACACACACACACACACACACACACACACACACAACACACACACACACACACACACACACACACACACACACACACACACACACACACACACACACACACACACACACACACACAGAGAAAAGCATTGTATGTGGTACACGATCAGACATTTATGTTGATATAATCATATCCCTGTCTTTACCTATATTTCATTCACAGAGCTAGTGCTTTCTTGATGTTAAAATATATTATTTTCCCAAATAGTTGACTTATCTTTCACTCTTGAGCAACACCATATTTCTTCCCCGCTCAAGAAAATGTTATTTTAGACATTTCACGAAAAGTCTGACCAGAGGTTTAAAACAGCAGAACATGGGATTCATTGTTATACTGGAAACTGTAAAAAACTAAAATGACCGAACTGAAAAATACAAAGAGTAGTAGGGAAAGTCAAAAATGGGATCACATGAGTTCAGCTGCATAGTAGATAAGTACTTGCAGTAAGTACTTGAGTAAATTACCCAACTTGACAGAAAACACAAAAGACGCTAGCTTCACTGAATTTCTTTCAAACAATTTTTGGCAAAAGTTGTGGTTCAACTCTTGACTGGGCATTTTGGAGAAAAAATAGTGAGAAATGATGTACAGAAATCTTCTGCTATAGACAATAAAGGGCATACAGGGTTAAACTATTCTACTCCTTAATTAACCAGGTCAATAACAATAAGGCTGTGCACTAAAACCACTCAAATCTTTAAGGTCATTTTAGTAATGAAGACTGTTTAGAAAGACATCAGGCTGAACAGAGCTGCATGCTGCTGCCTGCCTCTGTTGTTCCCCATGCAGAGGATATCATCTCCAAAAACAGGGGTCACAGTCATTTCAAACACCACAGGAAGTCAACTGCAGCACTTAGATAGTGTCGCAAAAAATCACCATGTGTGTTTCTATTCAGTTTTTTTCGTCCCGCAGGGTGGTTGACAAGATTTCAGCTCAAATTATATTTATGTTGTTGCGGTCAGTAAAATGAAGTGATGATGTGATCAGGGTTATGGTTTGTGAAAGTGTTTATTGACCTACCTGTAAGCCGCCGAGCTGTATGCTCCTCTTGTCAGCTGCTCCTGTGGAGAAACAGAAAAATAATAATGAAAATGTGGAGCTATACAGTATGTTTGAATGTTTACTTAATATTCTGGAAAAGGCACCAGAAGAATTAAAAAAAGGAACGTATTCCATCTTCCAAAAATGCTAAGCTTAACTGAATGCACTTTTTCATCACGAGCATTCTTTAGAAATAAATGACATGCTGATGTGTTAGTATGAAAGATACAGTGTATCACATCTTATATGCCCCATTGAATTCAATATGCATTGTCAAGCCTTCCCTGACACACCACACACACACACACATCCCTGAGCACAGTAAACCATCCTCCACCCCCCAGTCTGTTTACATTGAAGTTAATTGGCAGCTGTGAGACCACACATCATGAATATCAATTATTGCTAAAGTGGAGCTGTGAAAATTAGCCGGTGCGGTTCTATTGTGGAAACACAGGCAGGGCTTTAGCTGTGCGTTAATGGCAGGCCTAAGCCACCGAGACAATTCTGTCCTTGAGCTTAACATATTAATTGTAAATGGGTGAGGGCCCAAATGATTGGTTGGCAATATGCACAAAACGTTACAATAATGAAGAGAAAAAATAAACAAATTATTTTGTTCAATACATTGATGCTTTAGGAGTTTCGCTTCCGAATTAGACGTTTATCATTTGAAACAGCATGCTATATTAAAAAAATGCAATATATAAATAAAAATAGGTATTATATAAATAAAAATATAATATATTGCACAGTCTATTAACGTCAGGTACAGTCCTTCTTTATTAAATATAGATTATGAAACAGCCATGATTTTTCTTTTTTCTATTAACATAACGCCTCTTGAGGCAAGAACCTGAGCGAAATGACTTTATCTGCTATATTCGTTTTAATTTGAAATTGCCTTGTTTATGTGGTCACGTTTTACTAAGAAGCTTTTCTGAGTAGTTCTGTGGTTTTTTCCATAATAAATTCACATCACTTCTTTAATCAGTGTGACATTAAAACGCATCTAGTTGTCTGGGGAGTGCATCCATTCTCTTAATCCTACTAATTGGCCATGTAGCCAAAGCCTGATGTAGCTTATTCCTCTGTGCCATAGATTTCCATTATTGGAGAAAAAAAACAACATAAAAAACACATTAATGAGCCTCACTTGTTCCTTCATCACAATAAACATGGTGATTGTTATTTAGAGTCAATTCCCAAAAAAAAATGTAATTAGTTTTACCTTTTAAAAAGACATTACAAAAAAATGTAAACGATGGATTCTGAGCTAAACGTTGCAGAGAGAAGTACTGCGGGATGAACTAACACACTGTTGCTTTTGGCCTCTTTTTATGGTATTATTAAGTATTTTCTCTTTTTTATCCACAAGTAAACAAGTCATACCTGGCCATTAGAGCAGCCTTTCAGAAGTTACCTGGCAGAAAAACATTGGAAAGTTTCTGAACAAACCGAGAACAAACAGAAAGGTAAGGAAAAAGTTCAAACATTACCGAATGGTCTGGCTTCAAACGGGCTGGCTCTATTGATTATTGGTGTCTCAATTTTTTCTGGCCTTTTAAGTCAATGCAAGTATATTCTCACACAAGGGAATAATAGTCAATATTATGTTTAGTTCAATAGGTTAAAAATGTTTGCTTTCAATCAAGTTGTGAGTTCAACCCATCTCAAGTGTACATACATTAATTTGCCATTAAACCTGGTACTGCTTGTTCCTTAGACTGTCTCACTCACTCGGCCTAATTTCCATCAACGCAGCCATTATAATTATCACCACCATCAATGATATATCCGCTGTGCACACTAATCCTAATTAGCAGTAGGAGGTGGGGCTAATCAGCCGGTCCAGTTATCTTAATTTACCAATGCCGCTGAGGAAGAAATGGAAAAGGAATGAAGGTAATTAAGTCAACAACACTTTAATCACAAAATCTTGATGAGAGAATTGAGATAAATCGTTGCTAATTAAGCGTGATTTCAGGTGGAGGGAAAGCAGAACACATGATTTAAATATGAATTGTCTGTACATAAAGGTGAAAACAAATCCAGCAATGATTGCGCCGTGAACAAATGACCTTTTTATGTTTATTAAAGAATCACGAATCTCAACTTATTTCCATTTTGTTCTCTCCCGTTTGCTCCATTTTAACAGCAGCTTGAACAAGACATGCAAACATCATGCTGCGTGCGGTAGCAGCTGGTGAGGAATGACCAACATAAACAACAAATATTCTGCCTTTTCCTACACCATTTTTTGCATAAATCTGGTGTACCAGATGCTGTTTGCATAAGCAGCTTTCCTTCACAGGGTATTAAAATACTAGAGAAAAAGAGTTCACCCTCTCTGAGAGCTCACAGGGGGGAAATTCAAACGTGTAGCGATCAATACATTAGCAGCATCTAAACACGTACACTTATTAATTATGCCCAAAGGAATCATCTTGCTTTGGGCATAGCAATGTTCCTAATGTTTTACTAAATCGTGACTCTAACAGCTCTAAAGAGGGCCTATTGTGCTCATGCTCTGCTTCATCATTGTATGTTGTGTTTCTACTGTGACATGTCTCCACGCTTTAATGTGCAAAAAGGTCTTTATTCTTCTCATACTGTCTGTGCTGCAGCACCTCTTTTCACCCTCTGTCTGAAACCAGAGCCCAGTCTGCTCTAATTGGTTAGCTGGCAGTTTCTGTTGTGATTAGTCAACAGCTTAGAGATGTGTCGGAAATGTTCCGTCTCTTAGTCTATCATGTACAATGTGTTTGGGAGCTACGACATAGAAGTGCAAGTGTTACATAATGGTTGCGTTTCAGGCAGGGAATTTTAACCTTTGTAGACCCTTCACATGCATCAAAACATATATAACACACTAAGGAAAGGGATAACCCCAAAAGGCACAATAGGGCCTCTTTGGCCGGCTCTCTTCAATTAAGGCGTTTCAGGCAGGGGGGGGTGGATGAATGAGAAACTCCCTTTGGGATTTAAGCATTTGTAGACCATTTACATGCACAAAAACCTATATAACACACTACAGGAGGGGAAGGGAAAACACCCAAAAGCAAACAGGGCCTCTTCAGTAGAGAAAAGGGTGAAGTCAGGGTACTTTTATAATCACATTTGGAAATCAATCAATGAGATGGAATATCCTTTATACAAGACTAACAGTGATTGAAATGCATACTCACAGGGAAAGGTGTCTGCTATTAAGAGATTCAAGCATTTCAAAGTAGAATTGAACTTTTGACTCTGCACAGTGCCTAATACAGCATGTAATTGCTTTAGTATAGCAGTGTGACAGGTACAAAGTACTAAACCCTACAACCCGTCAGGGGTTTGGGGTAATGTGTGAGACGTTCCTCATTAGATTCTACGTCAGTCCAAGATTCAGTTTAATGTATTAACGCAAACACTGCCAAAGTGGAACACACTGCTCCCGTTGCTCCTCTTGTTATGCCTAAAGATCTCCTGCAAACTGCGACTGGACATCGGGTTCAATAATGTATGTTGTTTGTAAAGTTCAGACACAAATAAAAACCCAGCTTTAAACTTCAACAACAACACCTACACTAAAGCACAAAGCTTGCAGAAAGCATTGCTCACACACGGCTCAGCAGAAAGCTGCTCTCATCCCTGTCAACAGCATCTCCACAGATCGAATCAGGGCAGAGGATGGGGATCAGAAGAAAAGAAAAACACCCAAAATACACCAACACAGTGGGTGTGCAGCTCTGTTTCTGAGGCATGTGAAACATTAGCTTTTGAAATCAATAAAGCTCAGAAACTGCAGTGTGTCAATAAATAATGGTTTCTGAATATGTGCTGGAGTCAAGACATGTTTGCTTATTAAGAATCGAAAAAAGAGTTAAAATGTACAATTAAATATTGTTTTAATTGATTTTTGATAGAATGACCTTAGGATTACAAATGCAACAATAAAGGAAATAAAAACACGCCGAGGCTGGGGCTGCAAAGGCAGATGTCCCTGAAAGCTGAAGGCGTGGAAAACAATTGGAGGGTGAGAGGGAGAAACAATGAGTAGCCAGAAGGTGGAAAATGAAAACAGGGAACATTTCGAAGTAAACAAAGTATTCATAATTGAGTGTTCTTATTCACAGAATACAACACCTGAGGGTTATGTTTCGTGGAGCGATGATTTAAAGAAAGTCAGTGTGGAAAATGGAATAAACTCTATTTACGTATTGAAAGGGTTATGCTGGGTAACATTTTGGTAGTTCTTTCTGTTTTATTCTTATTGTTCAAGGTACTAATTTAACTGCCAAAATCACGTCAGCTAACCAATCAGAGCAGACTGGGCACTAGTTTCAGACAGAGGGAGAAAAGAGGTGCTGCAGCACAGACAGTATGAGACAAATAAAGACCTTTTTGAACATTAGAGCATGTAAACATGCCACAGTCAAGGCATAAAATACTTATGTGATCTGAAAATGAGCATAATGCCTCTCTAACTGTTACAATTTTGTAATTTAACCCAAACTACAATGATTCTCTAAACAAAGGACTTCTTATCTTTTATGTTCTTAACATTATCTTTTTCAACATCTGTGTAGGAACGCTATTTTAGTGACCACAGCGTTGTCACACCAAAAAAACAATATAAAAATAATAAATGTTCAACAGTGATCTGGTTTTTAAAAGGAACTTAACTTAATCATTGAATCTGTAATGATCTGTAAAAATGTTAAAACTATATATGAATTGGAGTCTTACACTCGATTTAATATGTCTGTCCCATTAACTGTCATCTACCCCTCATCAATCAGACAATGGTTCTTTTAGTGAGCTGTGCATAAGAGAGGATCATGACACCAAAATATCTCAAAGTAAAGGAAGTAACATCCTTACATCTTACTCAGGTCAGGAAGCACTGTAACAGTGTCAGTTCAACAGCATAAATCTGAGAACATACTGTACATTCATTTAAACTAATTACATGTTACTGGTAATGTGTTGGATATGTTGCCCTAACACTGTACAGTATATGCACTCAAGAGTATGA